CATTTTTTGAATTTAAAAAACAAATTATCATCTTGTCCTTCAAACCGCAAATTGTACTAGTCTTGTTTAGCCCATTGCCTATGGGGACAGTTCGGCAAAAACACTAAATCCCATTCATTAGCATTTCTTATGTTTTCTGATGTATTCTGGATAATTGCACAAATAGGCCCTAGTGCACATATAAAAATGTGCAATATTTCGTGCAAGTCGGCAAACACACTTAATGTGATAATCGCCGACAGTTTGTGAAGTTCAAAATAGCAAACTTTGACTTCACATAAATTCTGTCGGCACTTAATGTTCCATCTGTAACTGACAGTAGGACACATACTGTCACGGCATAGGGATTTTAAGTCGTTTTTTCAAGCGCCATTACGTTGCGTCGCGTTCGTTGTGTGTAAAAACGCCAATTTCAATGAAAATGCTGATAATTTCTTTCTCTTTTAATTTTTTGAAATTTCAATTTCAAGACATGATCATGATAGACGAGTATGTAAGCTTCATTTTTTATTCATTGGGGCAACATTTCAGAGGAAGAATTTGATAGAGTAAATCAGCGCTAAATTATAACGTCACGGTGATTTTCTAGCATAACAACAGCATAAGATTTGCTGGAACTTATTTTCATTTTAGTTCCTTTCGTAGCGTTGACGCTTTGCCAGTTAATTTTTCTAGAGCGGCGTTTTTAGTAATGGCGCTCTTTCTCAATAGACGTCATATTTGAATTCGAAGTCCATCTTTGTGAATTACTATAGTTGAAACATACGGTAGTTATATAAGTAGAAAAGATAAATCTGAACAGGTTTTTTAAAGAGACAAAAGTTGTACAAGTTTGTATAACCTGGTGTGTTAAAGTTAAAGGACAACAGTAAACACCCGAACGCAATTTCCCCAACTCTCCCAAACCTTTTATACTATCACCATACCCCCCATCATTTTTGTGCCATTTAATTTCAACATATCTCCTTTGATCCAACTTTCTCTATTGAATGGTTCGTCGACATCTGATTTAAACTAAAATATCATAATGTCATTTCCAATGGCTTATTAGGTAATTTCTTTCTGAACTTTTTATCCCCCCTCCCCGCCTTGCGTTATGTCTTCACTAACACAATGGGGTGGTTTTTGTGGATTCTGTCACAATCATTGTTGAGACAGCATCAGAATCAAAACACCGCAGTCTCTATCGTAAGGTCTACTTGGTCAAACATCTGCTCAGATATTCAAATCAGTGAACCTTACTGAGTCACATCAAGAAAGCCAGTGACCTATATAATGTCTTTTCAATTTGAGGTTGATAAGGATCTGAAGTTAATTTTCGTCTGGCATTTTTTGAAATATACGGAACACAAACGTCGTCCAATGTATTTTTAATGTTGTAAAGTACAAATGAAGTTCCATCCGTAAAATATTGGTGAGAGTTGAAAAGGAAAGGCGGCCACTTCAGCCTGCCACCTCCCCCTACCATGAATGTAATGGGATGGACAGCCTGGAAGGAGACGTCACTTCCTCAGTGCTGAGTGATCAGGAAGTGGAGCGAAGGCGGCTTAGATATTAAGTATACGAATATCGTAATTTCAGCCATATCAATATAACTTTTAAGAAGTCAATGTCAGGTATTAAGTTAATAGTGATTTATTTTTGAAAAATTTTTTGACGCCCGTTTGCTTAAGAGTGGTTTTGACCATTTCCCAATATTTTCCCCACGTATCATGTATTTCCTCCTTCACTTCATCTCATCACGTCTCATAAAACAAAGGAAGATGAAGTTGCACTTCATGTTCAGTATTTTGAACTTCGTCGGTAGAAAAAGTAGTGGCAGTGGAAATTTACCGTGAGAAATGGCCAAGGAGGGGAAAATGCTGTGAAATGTCTTGTGAGGGTCTGGATATTGGCATGTTGATATTTAGTGATCGGTTGGTAGTGGAATTATAGAATATGTCATAGGTATAGTAACAAACGTCCATTTCCTAAGTAAAGAACATAATTCAAGTATTAAGGGGATATAGTAATACACTTCCATTTCGAATATTGGCAAGATTCGTAAATTAAGATTTAACATTTCATTTCAATAAAATGTGTGAGCTAAATTGAAGTTGTATTGATTTCTGCGTGATATATTATAAGATCAACCATTCAATACATAGGGGGCGAGCTGATGGCCCGAAATGCTGCTCTGAACGGATTTGAAAACGCTCTGTCCACAGGAATCTTTTACGTTTTTTTATATCAATATAGCATCAGGAATTTGAGGTGATTTGCTAATTATATGTAACATATTTAAAACGTAATGATATATCAGAAAACATGGTCATCAATTAAAAACTTGCTTTATTGTACTGAAGTATGTTGTATACTATCGTAGTGTTAAGTTTGTCACACGTGACATTTGTGAAATGGTACTATATGTGGTATTCTTCAGCAAGACAGCAAGGGGTGACTTTCTAGTTTAGATGGGAATAAAGTACGTACGCAAAAATATACAAATTTTATGTCAGGTTAAAGCCAAATATTTTTCTGTAATATTCAACAGTTTTACCTAAATCACCAATGAACACATTATCAAATCCATTTATAAAATCTACAAGTCCGGTGTCGAATTCTTAATTTCTTTTTTTACCGGCCTTCAGTCTCATTCTCCAAATGTACTGAAATCAAAAATGAAACGACTTACGCTCATTGTGTCTTTCTTTCAATGTTCAGAAGGGAAAAAAAGGATTATCGTCTTTTGAAATTTGAGCATTTGCTGTCCGGTTGAGTAAGAGATACCATTTTACGAATCAAGATCGATTATTTTGTGTCACAAGTGAATTATGTAGAATTAACAAATTTCATTTCCATTTGAGAAAAACCCCTTCTTGAAAAGCTGATTTCGTGCATGTAAATACCATTCATATGATGGAAAAAAAAGTTCTTTCGTGTTTTACTTATCTCTGAACGTAGTTCTTACAATGTAAAATATGTACACGTTTTATCCTGAAATATATGTTTTTGACATTAATCTGTTGAACAAATACATTTATGGGAATGAAAATTGCTTTATTTTCCAAATTTAACTGTTTTCGGCAATTCTGTCTTAACAGCATCATTCTATCGACCAGATGATGCAGAAATTATTGATATTTATTCGAATTTAGAACAATTTATGTTCATAAGGTTTTTTTCCGAATTGAAAAAGAATGTAGGAAATATGAGAAAATCGTGATCTGTCCCTTGGATTTTAAGTTAGATTTCATGTAAATGTAATTTGTTTTTATAATTAAAAATGGATGTAGGAAATATGATCTGCTCATTGGATTTTAACCCAAATTTCATAAGTGAACATGTAGTTTGTTCTTTAAGTAGCTTTTGCAAGGAATTTTTTTTAAAAATTCATATTCATTTTACTATCTAATGTTCATAAGTCTTTCCAGTTTGGCAATAGCTGTATAAACGTATATGTTTTTATGTAGAACTTTTGACACTTTTTTTTGCCAAACATAACGAAAATGCGTGTCCGTTTTTTGCTCCCAACGATAAGTGTCTGACAGAAAAAAGCGTGCAATTTAAAACAGAGCATTTAATAAATATCTCATAATTTTCATTTTTATATAGAGAAAAACAATGGCGGATCCAGAACATTTGAAAGGAGTCAGATGTTGACATTTGGGGCGAGATGGAGTATTTTGAGAACTTGATCATGTGAATCCAAAATGGGTCTCTCACCATGGGGAGGGCGGAGACTAGATCCACCATTGTTTTTTTTCTATTTTAATGAAGAACTTGAAATATATTATTTTTGTCATTAAGAACAAACATAACACCGTTAGTATAGTAGATAATTTATTTGTCAAGTCGAATATATTAGAATGTTATATTTTTACACCTGTAAGTGAATTTAAATGCAGACATCATAATATTATACTATGATAGCATAATATTTTTAAAGATACTAAACGCTTTTTAACTTGTAGTAATAAAAAGACTGAAGACGATGATATTTTACAGATATATGTTTTATAAATAATTGAATACAAAAAAGCAATCTGTATTGCTCTTAATAAAAAACTTATTGAATATACAAAATGTCTTAGCATTTTTACTGATGGCTATATTGCTCAGTGGAAGCGTGGGGTTGGGGTTCGATTCCTGGCTCGGGCACTTTGGAATTACAATGAGGTGCTATTAGAAATTGTCTTTGGTTACTATAAGAAGAAAGTCTACCCGGGGAGGGTGGGTGGGAACACTTAGAGGGTGGGTGGGAACACTTAGAGGAGTAGGTAACGCGCTTGCCTCTCAGACACAGGGTCCCCAGTTCGATTCCTGGCTCTTCTAGGTCCTAGCAAATTACCTTTTGCAAAAATAAACCCTAATAAAGAATCTAAACTACTACAAGAGGATCACACGAATGAGGAAAAACAAGTTGAGACAATAGATCAGTAGGTAAAGCGACAGACTAGGAAAGAGAAGACGACTACTAAGTTGATAATCAAAGGTACGAAGCTGAAGAAAAGAAAGTCAAGAATAAACATGTGACATTTTGCACATCATCTATTACAACTTTTATGTACGTTTATTATAACAAATACAAACAACTACACCATACAGATGTATGCAAAATCCGAACATTACGTTTTGGCTCTACATAAAAAGTAATTTTCATAACGACTGCGCAATTTGAGATATAAATCAATCTTATATACAACTATCTACAACTAAATGTGTGGGAGATTCTATGCATTTTGAAAAGTGTCGCACAAGATCAATCGTTTTGATTTTAATAAAGAACATGAAATTTCCCTTTTTTTTATATTTTTGCCCAGAGTTAAAAGAGAAAGTTGAAGATTCGAAGTGAAGTATTTTACAGCAATCGTTCAAAGTTGACATTGGAGTATTTGTCTTATGAGTGAGCCAAAATTTCACCAAGGGACATTTTTATCCAAAATTCAAGGGTGGTGGCAGTATGGAAAATTCAAAATGCATATGATCTCATGTAATCGTTTCCCCCGCACGCGGGTACNATATTTTTGCCCAAAGTTAAAAGAGAAAGTTGTAGATTCGCAGGGAAGTATTTTACAGCAATCGTTCAAAGTTGACATTGGAGTATTTGTCTTATGAGTGAGCCAAAATTTCACCAAGGGACATTTTTATCCAAAATTTCAGCAAGGGGGTGGTAACAGTATGGAAAATTCAAAATGCATACTATCTCATGTAAACGTTACCCTGTACGCGGGTACACACTCATGGCCCTACAACTTACTCTAGGTCGCCATGCTGATGATAACACACTACACCAAACAGCAGTCAAACATTATTCAATTTTGTTCATATGATGAGTGCTTTTCTTATAGATAAATGAATATGTACCTCATATTTTGCGTCATTTTTTCTTCTCTTTAAATTTTAAAATAGGATTTTGGTGATACAATTTTGAGTGAACATAAATTTACGCGCCGTGCGAATCAAGAACAGCATGAAGACATGGTCAGTTTACAACCTTATCCCAGTCATAGTCATTTTAAGAACAATATGTAAACAAATTTGAAAAGGTTATGCAAAAACAAGTTTACTTAAAATAACTCAGAAAATGCTAATAAACTCTACAGTCACTGGTGTTCAGTGGTCAAGAAACACTCAGTAAAATAACCCAACAGCACGTGCAGGACTGGCACCTAATCAGGCCTTTTGTTCTCATCACCCCTTGATCCCAGCCGAAAACTAAAATTAAAAAAGTACCAAGTACCGAGATAAACGAATTTGATAAGGATTTTTCAAAATTCCAAGGTGTAAAAGGATGCGATAAATGCCATTCCTACATATACATTTAAAATGACAAAAGATGCCATAAGTAAACACTTTTTGCAATTTACTGTTTCCCTTTGTGAACATTTAACATTTTCGCTTTGTAAGGAAGGCAAAAAGTCAAATTTCCTTCTTTAATTAAAAAAAGCACATTATTTTCGAAAAAAATTACCCCAACCCCTGGTTTGATTGTCTGAAAATAAAAACATTTCTACCCCCTCCCAGCAATAAAACTATGGGTCCATCACTGATCAGACATAGTACTAGTATATCAAAACACCGGGAACCCAAGGAAGTTTATTCTTACCATGTGTCATAACTGCATATTCACAATTTTAGAAAGACCCGTTTTAATACATGTGGGCAATTCTGCAATAACTTGAGCACATTTTACAATTTTATACTGCCGTTAATTCTTAAGTGTCATAATTTGGATTACGTTTATTGTAGATTTATATCTCGGTCATTACAACCCAAAGCAAACATTACATTTCAAACCAAAGCAAATGTCAACCATGCAAGTTGACTATACGGCAGACTTCGACACGCAAGACAACGTTGACATGGGTGCGGGCGCTGGCGAACACGAATCTGATGTCTTTTCTGGGAGTGCGTCCAATCTCATCGCAGACGGTTGTTACGAGGCACTGAAATTAAATGAAAAATGAAATAAATTAAACTAAATTCATAATAATATCTAAGGAATTGACAAAGTGAAATACATAATATTAATAATAATCTTGATAGGTTTTTTACTTTCTTAGTTAAACATTATTTTGCGTATTTTGTGGGTAGAGTGATATAAATTCAGGATTTCATTGCTACACGTGCTTATTATCTTCAGAATGATTTTACCAATTACTTTATACCAATACATCCATACTTAAATAAATTCGTAATCCGAATGCTGGCACTTTAGCTCATCTTTTTTTTAAATCAAATAGTTAATGCAAGCATTTTATTTCAGATTATAATATCAAAGACGGTATGTAATCGAAATTGCAATCAGGAAAAAATGAAGTCAACGGGGTCGACAATGCCTAGCTAATATACGTTTGCTTTCCTGGTCGCGGCTATTTCTCTATAAAATAATTTGTTTATTGTCAGTTAGCTTTAATAAATAGGATATATTTGTACAGGTCACTGTCAAAAAATAAAAAAGTCACCCATTGGTAGCAGAGAATGTTACAGTAGTTACCTGCTTTGTCGTCTTGCTTTGTTTAAGACAGAATAACGCGTTCAGACCTTTGGACGGCTGGAATAATCTTCTCACTTCTTTATGAGTAAATACTTTCCTTCTGGAAAAAGCAATATAAAAAGTTATTAAACTTTCCAAGCTTATTTCAGCATTCATGTCAATGAAATATATCCAAGACCCATTACGTCTAAAGTGGGAAATGCATACTTTTGGATAAAATATCGTCAACATAAACCGATCAGTGTTGTCTTATATCATCTATACAGTACTTACAACAAATTACATCAGTTCTCAGTGCCAAATTTCAGTCTACGTGTAGAAATCGTGGCAACGTGGCATATGAGACTTCTTCCTCTTCCTCCTGACCTTGGTCCTATCTGAATACCTCTCACCAAAATGCTCACCTGGTTTACATAATAATAGCACTGACTGTGGGATTGTGTTAGAGAAGACACGATGCGGCTTAACGCAATCTAAACGTTATCATCATGTTATTGCACAAACAAACCATTTTGTTTTGTCCATCTATAGACCTTCATCCCAAATAAATGAGGTTTTTATTATTAAAGCATCCAAATTAAAACATGCTGTCGCCTATTGCTCTAGCACTGTAAATATTTAACACTAGAGTTGTGGCGACTACGGTATGTAGGCCTACATGTATATCTAACATTTTAATTTTTATGGAGCAGTACATATGAACCCAAATATGCTTCTTAGAAAAAATAAATCACATAAGAATCAGTTTACTGAGTTACGCATCATTCGCGAAAGAATTGTTTTCTGATTTCATTGTTTGTTCTCTGTTGTCGCGACTCTGTGGTTGCGTGCGACGCTGTATATGTGCGCACGCTNTTTTAACATGCTTATTTTCCATTTTCTCTTCAAAGCTAGGGGGTGGTATGCTAATCTCTTAATCTTATTGCATTCAGCAAGAGTCCCCCTGATCTACCTAGACAGATAAAGCACTGAATGCACTCTTCTTTTTATTGGGACTGAGTTCTTAGACCTAAATATTCTTACACAGTCATATAAATAAAACAACAACAATAAATAATAATTTTTAATATTTATTTATAATTAAAAGTTGGTTGGTACATTTATAATGTTGAAATGATAATTCTCAGAAAAACAAAGGTCAAATATATTTTCAAAAGTGCATTAAAATTGAAAGTTATGAATAAAGTTGATGAAATCATATAATTACCTAATATAATATAAGTATGATAAATAGTGACAAAAACTGCACTGTAGACTTTCAATTTAATTTTCAAATACATAAAAACTGTATTCATAAACATTTGCACAGTACTTTTTACTTACATTTTTGCATTAAAAATTCCCCATGTAAATTTATATGTACTTTGTAATATTTCATAAGGAAACAAAAGTCTGAAATTCACTGCAAAGAGACTGTAGTTTACCACTTTTAAAATGTTCCCTATCTCATCACTGTATATCATGTCCACAGTGTGTTCAGTGATTTCTATATGAGACTACAGATACATATATAAATATGATCATCACTGTATATCATGTCCACAGTGTGTTCAGTGATTTCCATATGAGACCACAGACACATATACAACTATGATCCCCACTGCAGTGATGAATAAAAAAGCCACATCATATATATTATCTGGTTGGGGTTATGTGTGTTAATGAAATATCTTAAATATGACAGTTAGGCCCCATTCACAATAGATGATCTGAGTGCTAACTGATCTGCCAACTAAATATGGCAGATCACACTTCAAAAGAGATGACGCTGATTCCTGATGGTCTCCCTGCCTCCACACACGCCACATAACAGATTAATTCTTGGCTGCGAGGTTTAATTGCTAGGCCCCTGCAGTTAGTACTAGGATCATCTATTCTGAATGGGGCCTTAGTGTTAAAGTAACTCTCAAGTGGTGAAAAACTGGAATATTTTTATTCATCAAGTATCCTTCATCAGTTTTGTATACATACTGTATAACAGAATGTGCAAAAGCTACTGATAAGTAAGTTGCATATAAAAGTGTTAATCAAAAGTTTTCAAAGAGATTCACCAGGTCCAATGTATAATTCTGCATTATTTACTTGTCTTAAAAATATGTCAATTTTTACTTCTGACTTATATAAATGTAATCAAAGATATAATTCATTTTTCAGATACATAAAAAAGAACAATACCTATGCCGGATATTATAGGAAGTATGATGCCACAGTTACGTCTTATCTACAGAATCGCCCAGAGTTTTTTTACTTAACATTGTATGAAAAGAATAGCCAGTGCATCCTATCTTGAGGACAGGGAAGAAGCCATTTTTGTGGTTGGTCCTGGTAGGTGTCAAATACAAAGTGAGACCAAACATGGATATTGGCACACTTTCACTTTTGGATCCGGAGAGGTTGCACCATCTTGTACTTGCCAGGACTGGCAATTTAATGGCTTGCCATGCAAGCATTTGTTTGGTATATTATGTTTTAAAGGTGTGAGCTGGGACCAGCTACCAGCCAACTACAGGAACTCCTCATTTTTACTATACTGTAGTACAATGGGATCACAACAGTAGTGAACATACTAGTATAAAAGCTTCAGTATACTTACTACAAATGTTGTTTAATTCTTTATTTAAAGAAATAATAATAATATGATATTATGCATATTACTTACACAAAATTGCTGCAGACATCTTTTATACTTTTAAGCACTGCTTAGTATAGGCAAGCCTAATAAAAATTTATCTTTGGGCAAACCATAAGATGAACAATTACATAAGACTAGACAGCAAAGCTGGCAAAATATACAGACACAAAACATGTTGCAACAACAGTTTAATAGACTTTTTCTGTGACAGCACCAGGCATATACAATTATAATACACCATATGTAAATATGAATATACAGGTCAAGGTTTATGGGTTTGCCAATTCCAGTTTTACCATTAGTTATATAATAGCTTCTTTCAATACTTTAACTGTACAAGTCATATGTATGTGAAAATATAATCAAATTCTGCTTATTTTTAATTCAAGCAGCCTTTTACTAAACAAAGCCATTCTGCATATTGGATGTAAAACAAAAACATGGTTTGGTAACTGTGGTAAGAAAGTCACCAAAATACATACAAAAATAAAATAAATTATGACTTTTTAAAAATTTTTACTCAGTCAAAAGTGGGGGGGGGTGGGGGGGGGGCATGCACCACGTTCAGAATGAACACAAATTTACACCAAAAATTAGTATGTATGGTGACTCAGCTTGGATACCACTAAAATTTAATAGTTGGTTGAATATACTTTGATTTTTGAACAATTTTTAATACTCGCCCAAAATGAATGACTTGTCAAACAGATTTTTTTTAGAAGATTAAAAGCTGGGGGTAAAACTGGTGCTCTGAGGTAAGAGAGATACTAAAATTCTGTAATATAGAAACCTATTTTTTGAACAAACAAATTGTAGATGTAGAATACATATAAGAAACTGTTTTATGAAAAATTCCAAATTAAATGAAAAAAAGATATCTTGAAATTTCCTAAACTTTGAACATATATGACATTTAAAAAAGAATTGAAAAAATATTTACACATAGATTTAAATAGAAAAGAAAAATAAATTTTTACTCAATTTCGAATGGGCATTTTGCCTTTGCATGTAGAAACTGGATGGTATACAAATACACCTGCAAATGAAAGAATATGCCAAGTATGCAAAAAAGAATTAGAAGATGAGAGTTATTTCTTACTTTGGTGCACTGCTTACACAAAGGAAAGATATAAATTTTATGAAAAGTTGGAGATTAAAAAAAAATGATACAAATGGCATTTCTATAGAAGACGTAATGGAAAAAAATTGAGACAATTAGCAAAATTTTTTGTTAAGATTTTTGATTTAAGACAGGCAAAATTGTATACAACAGGTGTCTTATAAGCCCAAATGGCTGGGTGTTCTATTCACATGACACGTTAATAAATGATGATGATGATGATGAATACCATTTGATGTCTGGGGATGGCTACAGGAACATGGACCCTATCTCCTGATGTCAGGGAGGAAAAAGAAATGGTTGGAGCCTGGTTCACAAACCTTGACAGCATTGAGACAAATCATCTCCAACAAAAGATTTCAGAAGGACATTATGTCAGGAACAAGTATTTTCCCAAATAAAGGTAGGGAGATGATATTGTAACAATACCCCCCCCCCCCCTCCGTTTGATGTCAGGGCGNAAAATAGAATAAAAAATATTTACACGCTTTATGGTAACGTATGTATCATTTTAACGTAACAAAGAAGAATGAGCGACGTAATAACATGCGTGCGCACATATACAACGTCGCTGACTTGATATCTGTAAGATTCTGCAGGGAGAAATGGGAGACATGGCCTAGTTTTTTACCTCTAAAAAAGTTTGCAATATACTTTGTCTTTCAGTGGTCCCCGATTCTTTAATATTACCAATGTTATCACTTTGAACCGCATAAAACACTTTTAGAAGTAAAAGAATCATATTAGAAACTATCACTACACTTTCTTTTTATCATTTTATTTTTATTCATCTTAGTATTGCCACTGACATATCTACTAGTGCCTCAATTTAGGACTCATTCCCAATGACACTATTGGTCTATGTAAGTTGATCCAACTCCACAGGGACTATCCCTAAATGCAATCAGATTGACACGCCTCCTTTTGTTTTTAACGTGCTTTAATAATGACCATATTTTCTGTTTTCTACCCAAAGCCAGAGGGTGGTATGCATACCTAGAGAGATTAAGTGTATTCAGAACAGCAGACTTACAGATCCACGGATCAAATATGGCCGACCCACTTGAATGCTCGTTGCATAATCCCTGTGGGGAATCTGTTCTGTGTCTAATCGCAAGCTTGTTAGTTGCCATATTTGATCCGCAGATCTGTAAGTCCACTGTTCTGAATGCACTTATTTTTGTTGGAATTGAGCTCTTAAACCTAATATTCTTAGACAGTCATAAATATAGCAACGACAACAACAAATAATGATAATATCATTATTTAATATTTATTTATAATTAAAAGTTGGTTGGTGCATTTTTAATGTTGAAATGATAATTCTAAGAAAAACAAAGGTCAAATACATTTTCAAGAAGTGTGTTAAAATTGAAAGTTATGAATGCAGTTGATAAAATCTTAATTACCTAAAATAATACAAGTATGATAAACAATAACAAAAACTACTTTGTAGACTTTCAATTTAATTTCAAAGACTTATAAAAACTATTAATAAAAATCTGTACAGTACTTTTTAAATAACATTTGTGCACTAAAAATGTTCCCATGTAAATTTCTATATACTTTGTACATATTTCACATAAAGGAAACAAAAGCCTGAAATTTACTGTAA